AAAAAAAAAAAAAAAAAAAAAAAAAAAAAATAAAAAAAAAAAAAAAAAAAAAAAACGGATATATTAACTGAAAGTTTAGATGAAAAAAAAAGACTTACACCGCAGCCTATACAAATTTTTACTAATACAACAAACAAATCGGTTAACGGAAATTGTTTGTCTTCTTAGCAATAAATGATGAGAAGAGAGTGAGACAAAGAGAGAGTGGGAGAGAGAGAGATCGATCTCTGCAATTTCATAGTCTCTCGTGTAAATACATAAATGCCAACAACAACACTTAACTAAAGCAATTTGTAACAAGCAACAACAGCAACAACAACAACAAAACTCACAGTTATAGATATACATATAGAGATAAAACGATCTATATAGAAGTCGAATATAGTTTGACAATTGCTTCAATTAAACCAGAACAACTCACAGAGTCAAATCGAAATGATGAAATTCAAATGTTATTTATATAATATGCCTTTTGTATATGTATTTCAATGAAACAAAAACAGAAACAAATGATGTGCTATGCGTGTGTCTCTATAGCAGAAAGTAAAGAAGTAAATTTTTTAATTTTAATTGTTTTTTTGCTAGCATAAGCGTTGCATATGTATATGTATATCAAATCATACAAACACCTACACCTACACACACACACACAGACTCACACAGAACATGCTATATTTATTAATGGATTTTTTTTTTTTTTCAAATTTAAATTGCAAGCAAATTTGTTCTGCCAAAAGGCTAATTAATTTTTAAACAATTGTTAAGAAATAGAAAACAACGTACAAGTGTTGATATTTATACTATAGAATGTACGTATATATATATATATATATATATATATATATCTGCTTATGTATGTAAATATATATATATGCATACACCCATATATATATATATATATATATATATATACTTATAAGACTTGGCGCATAATTTCGTTCTAATTATGTTGAAATTAAAATATATATATAGAAATATATATTTTGCTCCTTTTTTGTTTGTTTATGATTTTGCTTTTCCCTAAAAATAAAAAAAATAGAAAAAAAAAAACAGAAAAAAAGTTAAAAAAATTAAAAAAAAAAAAAAAAAAAAACAATTGTAGTGCAAATTTTAATAGAACTGTAAAAGATAATTTGATAATTGTTTTTTTTTTTCACTGTCTGATTTCTGATTAAATAAAATACTTCGTATGCTAGCTTATTATGATAGAAATATGTATGTGAATGAATTACATATTACTTATGTTATATTATTATTATCATTATACTTATCATTATTATTATGATTCTTAATGATTGTCAACGTGTTTTTTTTTCTAGTTTTTATTATTATTGATTTTACGTTGTATAAATTCGTCAGCTGTAAAATTGTTAATCAACAGCTTAACGGACCATGAACACACACCCAGACGCACCTACATACATACATACACACACACACACACAGACAGACACCTAAGCACACACATACAAACATCGACATGGATAAGAACTTGAAGTAGAGCACATATTAAATCGTAAATTTCACATCTAGTTATCGTGTTACATTATCTATTTCTATTCTATATATATGTATATATATATATTCTATATATACATATTAATTTTTCGTTTTCTTTAATTTAATAATGCTGAGACGATAAATAAAGGATAAGATTTAATTTATAGACACATTCAAGTGAAAATAATTTACAACAAAATTTAGCTATTAATTAAATATAAAAATTAAAGCAACTATATGAAAAATAAAAACTATTGAAAAATCTAAAAAAAAATTATTAAAAATATATATACTTGTTTTCTTTTTGGAAATGTATGTGCGGGGTGCTGGGGAGGCGTGGCAGGGCCCCTAAAGCTCGTGGAGTTGAGGTAATAAGTTATATAAACCGCATAAATCATATTCTATACAAGCTGATCTTAACTTATCGATAATAAGTTATCGATAGTAGTTGATAAATGAATTTTGTTTTTAGTCTGAGTGGCATAAGCGTTAAAGATCTTAAAATTTACTCTGTGGTTTCCTGTTTTGTATAGATTTTGTGTATTTCGGATTTTGGATGCCTACCCTCGTTCCCCATATCTTATTTCCCAAGCACCGTAACGACTTGTGCGTGAACATAAATACATATATGTATGTATGTAATCTTGTAAGCTATTATTACACTCTGAAATTGGCGTAAAAAAAGTTTATGCGGAACAAAAGTTACTTAACTCTCGATTTCCCATAGTAAAGCCCATTATAAGCGTAGCTTCAGCTCGTGTCTACATCCATATGTATGTATGTGTGCATGTTTGTGTGTGCTGTGTTTCATGCGTGTGTTAAATAAGCTCAGAGACTTAAATAGCTGTTCCAGGGTATCTTCTAGCTGGGCACTCCCCGCCAGAGCAAGTTTATTGGTGTTAATTTATAGCCTTTTGCAGGCAAATATGACATAAGCTCGATGTTCTTCTAAAAAAGTTTGTGGCTTCATTTATCATCGATATCTTTAGAAGGGGCAATCAGATATGTTAACAAATAATATATTTATTAATATATGCTATAGAGTTTTGTTTTGTTTTTTTGTTTCTAAGAATAGAGTTCTCGGTCAATACAAACTGAAATTCTTAACAGATCACGCTTGGTTTTTACAATGCTGTGCGCAAGTTCTTTCGGTTCTGGAAATACGCATGCAGTGCGTTTGCTCAGAGAGAGAGAGGGGGAGAGAGAGAGAGAGCGAGAGAGAGAGAGAGAGAGAACGGGTTTATTGCTTTCGTCTGTCGAGCGGTAATAATTCAGCTGACTGGGTATTCACCATTGCATAATGGCTTTATCTGGGAATTAGCTACAAAATGTATCTGACATCTAATGGCAGAAAGCACTACGATCGGCCCTAACTACAGCGAATCGCACAACTGTTAGACACTTAGCTCTCAATCGAATGTTCTGGATTAGTATAAATAAATGTCTATAACCCTATTTGATATTGATCAAAGGTAATTTTATTTGGTAGAGCCTGTAAATATTCGAATTTTGTATTATAGATTTTATTCTTTATTTTATTCTTGAATACATTGAAATTCTTGAATAAATATGCCTAAAAATATGCATAAAATAAATGTTGAATACCCTGTAAACATAGGACTATTGAATTGTAACTGTAACTGTAATACTGTATACCCAATAAATATAAATTTTGGATATCTTGGAAACAAAGAAACTCGATGTTTTTATACCCAGTAATACTTAATACATCTAATATAATTTATAGCATGCATCGAGAAATAAATGTTAGCTATACGAATGTTAAATTTGAACGTGAAATTAAAGATTAAACAAAAAAACAAAAAACATGAAAATGATTAATTGCTGCTTGAATATATTGCATACCCTGAAATATTACCTTTGAATATAAATTTAAAATTGTGTATGGTATACCCTGTAAAAGTAATTCACATAGGGAGTTTTATATATTAAAAACAAAATGTTATATACCCTGTAAGCATAAGAATACATAATACAAATATGAATTATTCTTTATGTATACCCTGTAAACACAAGATACTTTGGTTTTTGATTTAAATTTCAAATAACATACAGATTTTTTAGTCGTGTGTATACCTAACTTGCGTACAGGATATCTCATAGTCAGGCAAGAGTTTTCTACGACTTTAAAATAAGTTTTCATTAAAGTAAATGTAATAAGTGAAAATAATAAAATTATAAAAACTCGGGATGTTTTGTAGTCGATCATGTTCTAGCAATAAATGTAAGCTATAGTTCTACATAAGACTGTATAAGTCGATATATGTAAGTATACATTTATTATTTATTTAGTGCAATACAACCGAACTGAGCATAGGGTATCTAATAGTCGATCATGTGAGTAAAAGACGCCAAGTTACTCTGTCTGCTGAGTATTGCCTAAGCTTCACTTAGACTAAGGGGTATTCATGAGTCCATGCTCATGTATGTATGTACATATATGCCAGTTCCCATATAATTAAGGGGTATTCATCAGCGAACACACTTAAATGGGAAGATGCGTCAATTGTCGCTTTGCTTTCACTTCCCCTCACTTTCCATAATCCTAAAAACAGGTGGTTGTAGCTTAAATGCTCTCCCCTTCACTCTCTCTTCCTTTCACACTTTC